CACACACACACACACACACACACATACACACACACACACTCTCTAAATATAACACGAGCCGAATCCAGCAGATTTCTGCAAACGTTTCAAATCGAAAGCGACTATCGGAGCCGACGAGAGCCGGCGAACGATCACAGATCGGGGTGTGTGAGTGTGTATCGATGAGCCCTTTGTCTGCTCGCTGTCATCACGGCTGTGTGTGTGTGTGTGTGTGTGTGTGTGTGTGTGTGTGAGAGTGGATGTGTTGGTTTCACATTCTTGATGATTTAGAGTTTCACCCTGTCATTGCTGTGAACTTTTTACTGCATTGTGTCAGATTTGTAGATTGTACACACAAAAATTCTCAAAATCTTTGTGATTTTGTCGATTTCCCATTAATTTCCTATGGTCGGTCATTGTTGACCGAAGACCAGAAGTGTGACTATTTATTTACGACCACTTAGCTTTTTTGAATCATGCCCTCAATTTTTTTTCTAATTGTTTACAATTATTTTTCAATTAATGCAGTATTTCAGATTAAAATAGAGACTAGGCCTTTAAAATCCAATTTTTTAAGGCAGAATAGCACCTCCTGGTGAGAGCAAAAAACCTTGTGTGTGTGTGTGTGTGTGTGTGTGTGTGTGTGTGAGAGTGGAATGACCCGATCGTGATGATTCAGCACTGCGAGCCCTTTAAAACACGCGTCCCGCTCGCGTCGCGTCGCCAGACAGACGTTAAACGCGCACACATGTGAGAACGCTGATGATACTTATAGTGAACAATGCATAAATTAGTGTAATATATTAACACAACTTCGTTATTATTGCTAGCTAGTTAAATATACAGACTATAAGTAGTTAACTAAGTAGAAACAGGCCAGTAGTAAAAGCTAAAATCCACTAAATTAAACCAGAAATTATGCAAAAAATGAAACCAAAAAGCAACATTTTTCAAATTATTTTAATAAACATACACTTTTGATTTTTTTTTATTTTTTATTAAATAACCAGAATAATAAAAAAAAAATTAATGTTGTTTTTAATGCTATTATTCCTGGTGTGTTGAATGTATTTGTAAATAGCACTAAAAAACGCCAGCGAACAGGCGCATGCTGAGCGCTCAGAGCGTAACTTACATGTAGCCTACATTTTAATACACAAGACAAAAAAAAAACCACATGTAGCACAACATATTTACAAGTACTACTGAAAATGTTACTTAAATAAACGTGAGTATATTTGTTTCTAAGATACTTAGACTGGCGATATCACGCTATGGTTACATGCCTAACCCTAACTGTAAATTAGTATTCCTTAAGATTTCAGCTTATAGATATTTTTAAACTAGTAAAGTAATAAATACAACATTGTATTTATTGCATTAAAAAATAGAGAATCCTGGATCATCACTACAGGTAAAACCTTTTTTTTTTTTTTCATGCACTGGTCAGTTTGTAGATTTTGATTGGCTTTTCACAACAGACTAGTGTAAAGAAAACATCCAAAACACACATTTACGTGTTTATTTTATTGCACTTTATCTATTTGCATCTGTAGATTTCTATGTCAATATTTTTATTTAAAGAGTTTTTTCTCCGCTTCTGCAGCACTTACAAACACCACACTTTAGAGTTTTATTCCTGTCTATATTCTGAAGGTTTTTACTGAGGGGTTTGTTCATATATCATTCACACTGATTTTATTCTTAAAAATAGAGAAATCCAAAATCCCTTCTGGAAAAACCTTTAACTCTAGTAAGTCAACAAAATCAAACAAAAATTGAATCTGGCTTTATCCAATGTTCAAATGTATGTTCTGGGAATTAATGCAAATTAGTGCATATTTAATGAGACAATGTGTCATTTGCCTATTTGAACAACTTTTCAGAAAACTTGTAATACACACAAAAAAAGTTTGTAATTGATTTCTATTAGTTAAAAATTGACCCTATTCACCTGGAGTGTCTTGCCTTAAATACCAGCACATGAAACGCTAAAGCAGAACATTCAATCCAATTCATGTTTATTGAATAATGCATTTGATGAGATATAACTGGAGTACAAGGTTATGAAAAACATTATGTGAATGCTTGGCTAAAGAGGTGTCTTTAATCTAGATTTAAACAGAAGGAGTGCGTCTGAACCCCGAGCGTTATCAGGAAGGCTATTAAAGGGATAGTTCACCCCAAAATGAAAATGTGATGTTTATCTGCTTACCCCCAGGGCATCCAAGATGTAGGGGACTTTGTTTCTTCAGTAGAACACAAACGAAGATGTTTAACACAAACCGTTGCAGTCTGTCATTCTTATAATGGAAGTGAATGGGAATCACGGGTTTTAGAGGCAAAAA